CCTCCGGCCCGCCAGGGGACGAGACGAGGGGCGCGCCGCGGGGCTGGAGAAGGCTGTTCTCCCCGGGCCTTGCTCGCGAGGACCCAGGCAGGTGGGACGAGCTGGAAGGGCGTGACTCGTCCAGGGTCACTCGGCCAGTTTCGTGGCCCTTTTCTCGCCTGCTGTGGGTGTGAGGTCTCACCCCCCCTTCCTCCTTGTGGTCCGGATCCTGCGAGCTCGAGCGATGGAGGGGCTTGCTTTCCCCCCTGGCCCTGAAGTGCCTGGAGTAGCCAAGTAGCCTCGGCCTTGCCAGGACAAGGTGTGTCTTCCACTGGTCTTGAACTTTTTTTGTGTGTGTGTTTGTCAACCTGGAAATTGAAAAAGAAACAGACTTTAAAGGTTGCAGAAGGAATTGTTTTTGCAATCAGTTCTCAAACATTTGGAAAGAAGGTTACAGACCTTTGGCCACTTTGTGTCATTGCAGAGAGTAAATACAAAACCACTGCCACTGAGCTGGGGGGGGACTCCTCTCCTCCCATTTGATGGTGCAATTTGCCCACTTCCAATGGGAGGGTTAGGGTTAGTGCCCCAGGAAGGATGTCTCCTTGCTTTGCTGAGTGGCTTCCAAAAACAGCTCCCCCAGAACCAAGCGGAGGAGGGGGGGATGCGGCAGCAGCCAAGTGTTCACCCTACAAGTGCTCATGTTAGAATCCGTACTGAAAGGCTTTCTGGATGCCTGGTCTGGGCACCGGGAAGGAAGCTAGGCCAGTTTGCTGGCTTATAGGTCCTCCTTTTCAGGCCTAGCAATGCCTCCTGGAGCTGGCAGTGGGCCAAAGAGGGCAGGTGGAGGTGTTTCTGGAGCCCAGAGTCCCTGAGTGAGCAGGAAGGAGCTCCTCCCCTCCTCCTCCCCCCCCCCGCTGGAGGGGCGGGCGGGCTGTGTGTCCTTAGCTTGCATCACCTCCCTGGCCCTTCCCATCTGGTCAGATGTGGTGGTGGGGAGAGTGTTTTCTCTGGCTGCTTCCCTTGGGGACTGTGCGGGACAGGGAGGCCACTGCCTGGGGAAGGAAGGCCGGCAGAGAGCACAGCAGCGGAGATGAGGGAGGGAGAGGGCCGAGAGAGAGGCTGGGTCGGGTCTTCCCCCAGGAGGGCAGGCCTGCGGCTGGGGAGCTTTGTCTGTTGGGGGACGGGCTGCAGTGGCTGCTTGTCTCAAAGTCAGCTGCAGGGGGGAGGGGGAGTCTGAGGCGGTGTGCATTTGGTCCTATATGGATGTGCCGGACCTGCCGGGGGGCCAAAACGCTGGGCGGAGGCCAAACTACCTGGGAGCAGCCGGCCGGCGCTTTGCATGCAGAAGCTGTGACCTGATCTGCAGGTTAGCCTCAGAAGCCACTGCCAGGGACCAAATTCACTCCTACAGCATGCGCTGCACTTGTGGTCATGAGGGTCTCTGAGAAAGTGCAGAAGGCCAGGTCCACAAGCGGCACAGTGAAGGAGGCCAGGGGTTGCAACATCACCAGCCCTGAAGGCTCCTTCTCTGCCTCCCTGCTCCAACCAGCAAGGACTAATTGGGGCTGTGGAAGATGCCATGACCCCCCCCCCCGTTGCAGCCCCTTGCAGCCCCTCGCCTTGCCCAGTGGGTCTCTTGTCAGAGCTGCATGGATCCAGGGAGGCTCTGGCAGCTCCTGTGCCTGCCTTTGATGGGCTGCCTCGTCTTTGGCTTCTCTGGCCGGCCGCCAAACAAAGAGGCAGGCTCTGCCAGGGACATATGGCGGTTCCCGTGGAATTAAAGGTTCCGTATAGAAATGACCACGTGCATGTGTGTGTGTGTGTGTGAGAGAGAGAGAGAGAGTGAGTGCAAGGAGGGAAGAGGAGGGTGGGTTTTGTGCCTGTGAGCAAGTGGCTGCAGGAGTGCCTACGCTCATCCGTGGGCATTTAGTTGGCATCAAGGTGGGGGTGGGTGGGCAGACGTGGAGCAGGAAGGCTTCAGCAAAGGTGTCTGGTTGGAAGAAGGATCGGCCACCCTTTGACTTCTCTGCCAGGGAGGGTCTTTGTGGTCCAGACCTTGCCATCCCTTTGGGGACAGGGGGGGCTCCCCCAGGCCCAGCTGGGGCAGCTCTCCCTCAGAGAGGCCAGTTCCACGCAAAGCTCTGAGAAAAAAGCTCTCTTCCTGCTTTCGGGGCTGTTTAGGCCTGGCTCAGTGGCGGGTCTTCCGTGAGGGCAGCCTGCCATGCTCTCATGCGGAACGAAGCTGCCCTGTGACAACTGGACTGGTTCCAAGCAAACAAACATTTTGCTCTTCCCATGTTCAGGCAAAGTGCCGGCCGAGGTATGCGGTCCGGGTAGTGGATCTCGATTGCCCCGGAGGCCATTCTGTCCGAGGAAACGTACCATGCTTATTTGCATATGTTAATTAATTTAAACAGTGAAAATAAAGTCTCTTGTCTCTTATGGTTGCCAAATGTTAGACAAGAAAGAGAACTGAGTTGGATGTAAAAGATTGTGGAAGGGAGGGGTCCAACTGAGGCACAAAAGCCAGAACTGATGTTTCACTGAGCCTGCACGCACACACACACGCACATGCATGTAAGTGCCTCCCATCTCTGTTGCAGCCTGATTAGTGGAAAAGCCCTTTCTCTCTAATGGAGCTTTGGGTTAACCGCAGATCCTGCCAGGAAGATTTGTGTGTGTGTGTGTGTGTGTGTGTGTGTGTGTGTATCAGGATTAAGGCTGGCCAGCACTGAGTCCCGGACAGGATCCATCCTGTCCCGCTGCCTGGGCCCACCAAACCCCTTGCTAAGCGCCTCTGCAACACATTGTCTGCCCCAAGCGCTTGTGGCCCACGGCTCTCCATGGGCTGTCCTGTCCCACAGGCCTGGGCCAGGGCAGAGGGAGCTGGCTGTTAAATTTGGACAGAAGATCCGGCAGAAGGCTGCTGTGGTTTCCTCCTCAGGGGAGGCCGGAAAGAGATGCTTCCCCCCCCCTGGAACAATTGGGAGGATGCTGTTCCCAAGGGCAGCCCAGCGGAAGATTCGGAGCTTTCACTGGTCAGGTGGTCTGTGGAAGGCGGCTCACAAACAGAGCCAGCAGGGG